CTGGCATTGCACCATGATTAGTACTATTGTCAAATGCCATAACAGCAATTGCACTGGGATAAATTGTTTCAAAAATAGGAATGGCATAATTAATAACTTGATCAATCAAATGATTTGCTGTCCACCAGCCTTCTTCATTTTTTCCAGGTTTTAAATATTTGCGTGCTTCAATAGGAATGTTTGGATTTAACAATGATTGTTCAGGAGTCAATTTTAAACATCCAATTGTTTCAAGTAAAAATTCACTAATCATTATTGATTTGCCTTGACCTTTTTTTCGAAGTGGTGGTTCTCCAATAGGTGCCCATACTATTGGACGATCATCATTTGCATAAAATAAACATTCATCATGCGTAACGAATATATGTAATTGCTGATTATTAGGAATTTCTGGATTAATTTGTATCATGTCATCTCCGACAAACATTGGCATAAATTGTTCAAGTTCTTTTAATTCTTCTAAAAATTTTGCACGATATTCCAGTACATCTTTTCTTTCGTGTCCATCAAAATATATTCCTTTTTTTCTAGGTTGCGGAACTAAACCAATTTTTTTAAGCCAAACCCGAGATGTTTTTACTGTAATTTTTTTGTTTACAATTCCCATATCAGAAAAAAGTATTAAATTTACATAATTTTGATAATCTTTTGGTGTGATTTTTCCATTATTTTGCCGAATAAAAATAAGACTTTTATTAATGATATCTTCATCATCAATAAACGATTTTGTTTTTTGATGACAACCTTGCATACTTTTATATAAAGTTCCATTTTCAAGCCAAAACTTAGCCCATTTTCGAATAATTCTTGCTTGATAAGAACCTTTATCATAAACTTCTTCTGCAGCACGTTCACTTGCTTGTATTTTACCTAACTTATATTTTTCCAAATAAACAAAATATTTATGTATTGCCCAATACTGTAAATAATCATGAGCAGTCTGTTTTTTTTTATTACTTAGAATACATTCAAGTTTTTTAAGCTCCTCAATATTATTTTTCACATTATAATCGTTATTATCATCTTCATTAAAATAAAAATCATCATCTGTGTTCAAATTATTGATCATGTCATTAACATTTACATTATCATCGGTATTTTCATCTAAACTAATAGCATCTATATCAGAATTTGTATCTGAAGTTTCCATTTTATCTTTATTTTCACTATCTGTACTTTCTTCATTTTTTGTGATCGGAAAGTATTGTGTAATTGATTTAGTACCTTTTGCAGCTTTTGTGTATGTACCTGAAGGACCATATTTACGAAATTTTGTAGCTTTTGATATTATAAGTCTATTTCTAATTTTTTTTTTTTGTTTTTTTAGCCAAACCAACTCAAGTTTTCCAAGATTATTTATGGTTTGTTGTAAATTATCTTCAAAATTGTCATCTGAATCACTTGAATAGCTTTCATTTTCAGAGAAAAAAACATCTGAATGTTCAGAATTATCAAAATCTGATTCAGAAGCATTTAAAGTTTTTTCAAGTCGTCCAGTATTAACATTTCGGATACGTCCTTGCAGTCTTTTTCGTGCTGATTTAACTTTTTTTGTTAAAGGCATGTGTAATAAAAAAAAGATGCAGATTGATATAACTATCGAAGATCTATCCATTGATATAGAAATTGTTACATTGTACAAATTTTTCATAGTCCCAATTTATCGATTTTATAGTAAAATTAGTACTACTTTAAACTAATAAAACTTATTAAATAATAACTTGTATAAAAAATTAGCCGATAATTAGATAGTTTTAGTGTTGTTTATTATTTCTATTGGATAATATTTTGATTTTAATTTAATTTTTTTTTTTTTTACAAAATTTTGTCACGCCTATTAAATTGTCGATTATAGAGGTTTCGCACTGTACTTACTCGTGAAGTCGGCCGTGATGCTAAGGTTGCTGGCCGAAACTCAGTTTTGGTATAGTTTCAGCATAGCGACCATTTACATTAACTTCAGGTGACCATTCCAAAAAAGCCCGATCTTGCCGTTCCGGAAGAAGCCAAGTCTAGCAGGATAACGATCCTAAGCATACGAGCAAGGTAGCTAAGGATTTCCTGCAAAGAAAAATTCCAACTGTTATGGACTGGCCATCTAACAGTCTCGACTTGAACCCCATAGAAAATTTATGGGCAATTGTTAAAAGAAACGTTGAGATGCAACAGCCACAAAATATTGGGATTTGGAAAATTTTATGAAGGAATGGTCAAAAGTTTCACAAGACGTTGTTTAGTTGGTTCAATGAAGGAGAAATGTAAGCTTATAATTGAGAAAAATGGGAACGTATTCCCTACTAATTTTTTTTTAATAAAATCTTCTGGCAAATTGTTGTTTGAAATAGAGTTAATGGAAGAAAACGTGTCTTAAGATGGTGAATTTAACATACTAACTTGTTCGTAATAAAATTTCTAGGAAGGACGGTATTAAATAAAAATATTCTAATAATAAAATCCAATCCAAATAGATTGATTGGATCGATTTAATCCAATTTTGTAATTTGTGAATGTGGGTCGGATTATGACTCAATCCAATACAATTGAATTTGTGAATGCACCTTATACATATATTTGGTTTCATTAGTACATTTACCACCCCACCGATACATCTTAAAACAATGATATTCAGATAAAAAATGTTTTGTATCAGTAAATGCAAAGATCTCGGATCATGAGTTAATCATTAAATTTTGAAATAAACATTTAATTAGAAATGTTTTTGTAAATCAATCTTAATTATCTCTTGATTTGCAATAACAAAATCTAACTTTCTATGTCCTTTTTTGTTAACGAGCCAAATAATAGTAGATTGTGTCAACGTAACTATTTGCTTATATATATTTGGAAGATTTTTAGTGTATATAATAAGATAGGATTCATCAGCATCTATTGCATCTGCATAATCTTCAAGTTGTGAAATTGAATCATTTACTTCATTTTCAGATGTTGAATCTACCTTCAATTCTATAACAAATTTCTTACTATTACGAATAAGTAAATCCAGACGACGTTGTCCCATATTAAGTGGATCTTTTGCTTCAAGTAAAACAAATAAGTCATTCCAAGCATCTCCCAATATACGAGTCTTCTCCAAATTTAATACCTGTATTATATGACAAATATTTGCATAAAGTTCAAAGTGAACTATATATTCAGCAATGTTTCTATGGTTTTATACTTCTTGTGCTAGCAATGTTTGCGGTTGTAACAGCTTAACTGCATGTTGAAGAAGTATTAATATTTTAACAGACCCATTATCAGGAGAAAAAATTTCTAGGATATTACTCGTATTATATTTATGTTGAATTATTATAAATCATTCAAAACAAAGATGTCTGATGATGGGTGATGAAAAAACAATATCATTATCTTCATTTCTAATAAGAATACCAATTGCTATTAGATAATTAGCAGCAGGAAGTACATCTAATGTTGGTTCAGCAAGAAAAGTGTGATATAAATAAGTAGTGAGAAGTTTCCTCGCAGCTGTGACAAGTTGACTCTATGATTTATGTAAATGATTTAATTCATCCAACATTCTTACAAAAGTGGATGTAAGGACCAACCGGTTGATTAGATTCTCTGAGACATATTTTTTCCAATGCTTCAACAATACATTTGATTTTCTACTTAAAACTTCATCTTTAAGTATCTGACCACACTGACTTGTGAGTCCTGGATGACCATGAGTACGTTCATAAATATCTGTGGCAATTGAATTGAGAGTATCTAGATCCATACACTAATGCCAACGACTTTCTTCATAAACAGTTTGAAACATTTTTTGAGTTTGTTTCATACTAAAAATACCTACCCACATAACCTCTTTAACATTAAATGGTGATTGATAAATAATATGTGGTAGTATGTCATTTTTGCCAAAAGAACTGTCTTGATTTGATGTTGATTCAAGAAGTGTTGTAATGTTATATGTTCCAGCAGCTACGACTATTCATTTGCTCGTCAAACAAAAATGCAGAACATAAATTTCGTAAACTACGTAATGCAGATAAAAACTCAAATTTGATAGTAATTTGTTTCAAAATCATATCAAATTCATCAACAAGTAGAAGAACTAATTTTGGGAACTTTTCTAAAAGAAATAAGTTCTGAAAAGCCTGTTTTTTTGCAGAAGGTGAAAGTTTTTGCAAAGCTTCTATGTCAATGTCAAAATGCTTAGGATTATATTTTGCAAATATTGAAAAAATAGAATCCCAAAAACTATCTAATGATGAAAAATCAACAAGCTCAAAGTTCAATTGAATGACTATTAATCCTTTACTACAATGCCTTTTAATAACCTGAGAATTGATATCAGGAAGCCATCCTCTGAGAGCAACAGAGCGAACATATTCAAGGTGTGATGATTTTCCAGTCTGGCGTGCACCATGAAGAAGAAGATAAGTACCATTAGCAATTCGTTCCATGATAGAAGCACCTCTCAAGTCTTGTAGTGGGACAACATAATGGAAATTTTCATTAACAGCACCAGTGGTATTAAAAACACGTAAATGACGTCGAGTATATTGAATAGCTTGTAAATTTTCTGTAAAGTAAAAAGAAGGCAGTTTTGAAAAAATGAATGATTAATGCGAATAAAAGAAATGCGTGAACATGAGAAATAGAAGAATGTATGAAGAAATATGATGAAACGAGATTGTATATTTAAAAAAGATAAAATGGTAAAAGAAACGTTAAGAATTAATATTAATTTAATAGCCGTGAATAAATGTAATTTTCATCACACGTTTTTTTTACAAAATTTGTTCATTACCTTTTTCTTCGTCAAATTCAACTAATTTTTTTAGAAAATACTCCACCTGATCTTCCCTCTTCTTCTTTTCCGCTTCTAACGACTTCAGTTCTTCTTTTAAGAAATTAAACTCCTCAAGCCTTTCTGCCACTCCTTCCAACAACAACTGGTTCAGCTTCCCTCTCCACTCTTCATTCCATCTCCTCAGATCTTCTTCCGCCTTCCCCAATCTTACTTCTGCTTAATTTAGTTCGGTATTAATTTTTTCGTGCGTTGTCATTTTTTAGATTAAAAATATTTTTTTGAAAATATTTTTTTGAAATTTAACGAGGAAAAAAAAAGGTATTATGATTAGGATAGATCTAATTGTAACATGTTTACGCGTCTTAATATAACTTCATATAAAAATAGGCTAAGGCTAAGGGCTAAGGGCATATTTGAAGTAGTAATTTAAAATTGATTACAATCATTGATGTTAATTAATAGGAAAATCCTTGAGTCGTGAAAAAGGGACCAATTTCTCGTTAAAATTATTATTAATTCTGATACTAATAATAAGGAGTGTGAAATTTCACCAAGAGAACGAGAAACTTATTAGAAATGGCGTTATTTTATTGGGGCATTATAAATTTCTTAAAATAGTGTCAAAAAATTCAAATGACGCCATTTTTGCCTTTCCCCATACAAAAACCACACCACGCGAAAAAAACATTGATTTTAAGTTCGCTCTAAAAATGCTCACATTTTCCGTATGATCATGACTAAAGATGATGAATGACTAACCTAATTTAGTAATTAGATTGGATAATTATTAATTTATTGCGTGTTATATACAAACAATTATTTTCCGCTTTCATATGACAAATTAATTTGTCTACCCCCTTACTTTCTTATTGGTAATCGAATCTGTATTGTGGGCGCAGTACATTACATAACCTCCTAGTTAGATTTTTCAATAACATAATCAGAATTGTTACTTTTGGTTCCCTTATTATGGAAGAAATGTTAATGTGATTGCAAATGACACATTTTTGCCATAAAGATGATAAATATGGTGAATTTGGTTCACTGTCGTTATGATGTTTAAACACATTTATCACAATACATCGGTAGGGGGATGATCGCGTTATGCCGCACGATCGAAAGATCGACAGATGAAGTCATTACTGGTTCGGAAAATCGGATGATTTAATATAATGTGGCGATATTTAATTGACCAAATAAAGTTCTGGAAACATCTTGTTAAAACCAGTTAAAAATGAATATCGAATTATTAATCTTTATAATATTAACGTCAAGAAATTAACCTTATCTGGAGATTTCTAGCAGATTCCATCACAAAATTGTCAAACATATAAATATACATTGTGAATAACATTGAAGAGAAAAAAATAAAAAATTAAAAATTTAATTTATTCCTTGAATAATAAAATTAAAATGAATAGCGAACAAAATAATAACAATCAATCACAGCAACCAGAACAGAATCAAAACAATAACGGATTTATCGATTTCTTTTTACCATTTATGTTTGGAGAACAACAAAATCGATCAAGAAATACTAATATCCAATCAACACAAACATCGAATAACAATCAAAATGGTTCACCACAACCACCTCAACCTCAAGGACAAGTTCCTCAATTCCATTTCTATGTATTCCCGATGCCAGTAACACCAGGAGGAGATGGTCAAGCCACCCCAAACGTATTTTTCTTTACACCCTTCTTTATGCCACAAGAAGTTCAAAAACCACGTGCTTCAGAGTCGTTCATGAAAAAATTACCAGTTGTCACCATAACTAAAGAACATTTTGATGCAAAAGCAAGTTGTCCGATTTGCTTCGACCTTTTCTCTCTTTCCGATGAACAAAAAGAAAACACAACAGATCATGGAGATAATGAAGCGACTGTGACCACAGAACCTGTGCGAAAGATGCCATGTAATCACATGTTCTGTGAGTCGTGCCTCTTCAAATGGTTAAGGCAAAATAATACGTGTCCTTTATGTAGAAAAGAAATCGAAGCTGAAGGAAGACAACAGCAAACTGATAATAATAATAATAATGATAATGTACCCTTGAACGATACCAATCATTCACCTCCGACGACAACGACAACCACCACAACGACAACCACAGTGACTCCGACAACTACAGCACAGTCTAATTCACCATCCATCAATTCACATTCAGATTCAGCACATTGTTCAACAATCTCATGTGCCTTGGCAAATGTTGGATGCTGTGAAGAAATTGACAACAATTTACCAACACCTATAATAACATTACCACGATGCCATCACAGGTTTCACGTTTCATGTTTAAGAACTTCTTTATTAGTTGAGGGTTATTCATTACGTGATATCAATTCAATGTCACGAACATTGGACTTTCGTTGTCCAACGTGCCGTGCTCCTGCAATTCTGCAAAGCGATGTGTTGAAAGTAGCTGCCGCTCCGAATGAAAATGAAAGTGCAAATTCTCCACAGAGCGAACAGCAGGTGTTTTCAATATTAAACTTACCTTTAACCATTAATTTATCGGATTTATCAGATTCCGATGATATGGACTTGGATTAACAATAACGGACTTTATTTATCATTTGCAACGGACTTTTATTAGACATTTTACATTTTGCACATAGATATTTATTATATTTTAATTGTAAAAATTTTTAATACCCATTTTATTTTTTAATTAATTTTATAAATTGTATAAACAAAATTTTCAATTTTCACGTAATCACGTAATCACTAAATAAATCAATATCAATATCGAATTCGTTTCAAATTTTTTAGTTTTCTTATAACTATGTCTTAACGTGTAAAAGTAAAAATAAATTCCGCACGTAACTTTTTTTTTGTTTTTTTAATGACGAGCTGGAAAAAAAAAAAAAATAAAGATTCCATGTAAACATTGTATTAATATCGGTCTACGATCTAATATATAACATCATTCTTCTGTTTAGCAACTCATTTTTTATTTTTCTCTTCTTGAATTTGTGGGGTAATATTATTCTATGTGCGAGAGAAACGAGAATTACAGGGATATATCTATTGAACTCG